TATATATATATATATACGTAATTAACGAAAAACGGAAAAGCTTGATGAAAATGTAAGTATGGAACGTTACATAAGATCGTTTGTTGAGTATGAAAATCGTTCATAAACCAAGCCATGGATACAAGCAAAAATGTTGACTGACAAATAATAATACGTTACCTAACGACGAATATAATTGGGCTATGAAACCTTTCCTAATTTACATCACTTTAACGAAGGCATTTGAAAGAAATGGCACAAAACTACGCAAACAAATAAATCATTCATTTAAACAATTCGCAACATTCATAGACGTGAATCCATGCTCCCATCCTCATTCGAAAGACTTTGCTGAACGTACAATTCACAGGATACATCCAAAATCAATAACGAGTAGTTTCAAGGATCCCGTTAAAGGAGAATTATGGAATGTCATATTATAATAAAACATGAAGGGACAAGGATGCTTGCTTGCAAATACTTCAGCAGATCATCAGATCGACAATGAACGCTAAAATCGTTTCCGTAAAGCATCGTTCTCAAAATGAACAAAAAAGCAGAAACTAAATATTCGTGAAAACCCAATAGGATTGAACAATCACACGTACAAGTACAAGTGAAAAAATACTCGCATGAAATGAAGAGTGCATGATCATGATGATCCACAAGGAAACGAATGATGACGATGACTGAACTTGTCAAACGACGGGAAAATTACGTCGAGAAAGTCTTTCAGTGAACAATATTTCGAAGAAACGTTATCATTATCGCACAATACGTTCTGTTCATTGGTGACATATCCGTCACCCGCACCATTCTCGATCACAATCCCATTTTCATCGACCATCGCAACAATTGCATCGTTCGACTCAATATCGATCATTTTTGCCGTTTGCGTATCTGAACGAAATTTGCGATCAATTCGTTTGCACATACCGCATAGAAACACGTCAATCAGTTTGAAATTTCGATGTGTTGCGAAAGTTTAAGGGCGTACTGAGTGCAAGGGATCCTCCGAAAATGATCGATGCCGAAATGCTACAATTTGCAAGCAGGCAGTTTTTCGAAGCCAGTATAAGCTGTATGTGGCAATCTTTTAAAGATAAATGGAACTGGGATTGTTGACTATCCTTAAATCTAAATAATTTCATCAATATCGGTAAGTTTGAATGAACTGTCGCAAAACAAATCACCAACAACGCATGATTAAGATAGAAATTCCGAAAGACGTTGGTGATCAACAGTAACGAACAAGCGCGGTTACCACTGTCGACGTTTCGAGCCGTTGACGTATCCGAATCGTCAATCACCGTTTCCGCTGCTGAGCACCAATATCCGGGTTCATTATTTGCCGGATCAGGAAGTTTGATGATTGTCTGAAGATCAAAAGCAATGACGAAGATTAATCGTACTTATTGAAGGATGTTGCTGTGAGTGCTTGTGACTGGTAATATCAACGAATGCAGGGATTTGCGGTTATATACTGGAAACAATTTAGCATACAAGTGTTTTCCAGTCATAAAATAAAATACCTATTGATCCGACATCAGAGCGACCGAATCTGTCAGCATTCAGAAAATAGATCGTTCAGCTTTCAAGGTAATTCAGACAAGTGAAATTGCAATGGGAAAAAAACCAGATTGCATTCGATTACCACTCACCTCACTATCGAAATTCACTAAACTTTTGATAATGAAAATTTTACGCTCGAATTCAACGTTATTTTCACTTAACCTTTCCAGCCAAACTCCAAAGCCCTCCGACGGAAGTGACTGGATAGGACGGCACTTCACCAAGAGGTAGCATTCTTCCTGAACATGTTCTATGACCAATCATTAACACTTTCTACTACTGTAAAAATATCTTGTCATGCTCAACCAATAGCTGAAAAACGAACATGCCAAGCAGAACTGGATTGGAAACAAGACGTTCTGCTCTGAGTAAGAACAGCTAAAAGTTCTACCGTTTGAAATACATTCAATTTGCATATTTGTTTATGAGGCAACATCAAATGTGAATAGTGTTAGTCACACGCGCTCGATTGTAACAATTTGTGAATTATTCAACATCTTCAAACCGTTTGAAAGTAAGTGCTGATAAGCTCCCCGAGGAACAATTCAGTTCATTCATTTTCCTGTTGAAATTATCTAGTGACAAATCTTTACATCCTCTAATTCACGTTCTCTTTATTATCTTATGAAACGTTTCTTTCCCATGCTATATGAAGTATGGATCAGCAGCTGCACTCAAAACTTACGCCCGTCCCGAGGATCATTTTAGTTTCCGATAATGTTACTTGAAAGTTCTGCGATTGTCGCGATTCAATAGTCGTCGAACTTGGCGTAACTTGTAATCGATGTGATGATGTCGAAATCTTCAAAAGCATCGAGTTGAACGGCAAGTTCTTTTCTATCTCATCTCATTTATTACTGCGAATCTTTCACTGATGAATTTCGAATAATTTGTGATATGCTATATTTGCTATGCTCATAACGATCTGATCAGTTCGGGCACGAGTGTGGCCAGAACAAAAACGACTTCATCATCCTTAATAAGTTTTCTTGCCATTTTCATCTCATTCTATCCAGTTTTGCACTGATGTCAACTGACGAATTACTTTCATTGCACTCTCATTTTATTGACGTAATCTTGAGCTTTGTAAGCACACTATGCAAAAAGTATGGAATGAAAGAATGAATGTCATAATGTTAGTACTTCAACGATAAACTTCAGCCTCGTAGTATTGCGAATCACTAAATATCGGACATCGACTGAACGAGTTGCCGGGAAGACCATTGTTGTAGGTTGTGATACATTACTGAACTGATATGGTGCTGTCACATTTGTTGGAAGAAGGCACATTATTCATGGTCAAACAACCACCTACTACTGAGATAGTGCATAATATAAATTACTATTTACAAAAAGGTAAGGATGAATCGGTATGTTAATGTGGGTATAATACGGCTAAAGAGATTATTAAATATCCGAATCTTTATTGCTCCCAGCATGATTTATTAAGTGCGTTGACTGAAAGACCACAGAATTACTGAAACGACGAGTGTTAACACGTTTACAAAAATATAACCAACTCTGACACTAAGCCATTGCGTTGCTGATTTTTGGAGAAGAGAAATGAGCCGATCAGTTCGCGTATGTGGTGCATAATGATGACATGCAGACAGAAAGCGATCAATTTATTCGCTTATATGCATCATGCAGAAAAGTAACAGTGCAGAATGACTCATATCTGCAGCTGTATGCAAAGTTAAAATTTTCAAGCGGTGAAGGAATTTGTTAACTTCTCATATATCCTTTGACCATGCACAGCTATCCATTTTTATGAAGAGGAGTACTTTTATCAAGGGAATTTTATTGTAGCATTGAAGAATGGCCAAAGTTAATGTTTTGCAGTTAACTTGCTCATTGTTATCCGTTTACTGTATGATTGCAGACGAAAAAGTAAAGGTTCAGTTGAAAAATGAGGTAGTTTTATTCGTCAAATATGAAGTAATGGGGTGAAAACAAACAAGAAATAATATTATTGATAAAATTTGCTTCGTAATCGATCGAATGTGTGCCGACTCCTTCACAGTACAACTAANATTTGGGCATATTCATTTGCGAATATTAGGGCGAGCTGTTACTCAGACTCGTTGAATTTTGCGATGATATCATTGGGCCAATATCGTTCACTGAAACAAGTTTGGTTCGAAGCTAATCATAGTTTTGGTCGTCAACTACAATTTTGAACTGAAGCAGCATCACTAATGGAATTACTTTGACGTGAGCATCGGCATTACAAGTTTTGCTGAGCGTTTACTGCCCTCAGCAATCAATCATATTCATTATCTACAGCAAACTATTGACTAGTGTTCGATGAAATGGCAGAATATGTAACATGAAAGAATCAATTAGCAATCAGCATGAAATGACTACTAACCACTCTTCCAATAACACCGCACGCAACACGACCACCTGCATTACCAGTAGTTCTACTACCCTGATCACCACCCAAGCCAAGGTCGTCACGATTTGCGTGAACAACCAAACCACGACCCAATATCGAGTTTGCACCAAACAGTCCAACGCGGAGGAACGTGTTTAAGATGACAATATTACCATTTCTCTTCAATCAGTATACATTCGCTTATTTANTTAGTAATACTTGCTGTAGAATTAGCAGCAAATGCTCTATTCAGATTATCAAGATTTAATTTTCCGTGTCAATTCGCGAAATTAGAACTGCTTTCGAACTGAGAGTGGTCATGAACTTACATCAGCCATCAAGTTTCCAAGGTCACCGACATGTCTGATTGATCGAAAGAATTGTCCTGGAGCGCCATGATCCTTAGTGAAAGGATTGTAATGCGCTAATGCATCCAAGCACCCTCTGCCAAGATCACCAGATTCGTGCACATGAAAACCATGTTGACCTTGTGAGAATCCAGTTAGCATTCCATTTATCTGAAAATCGTTTGCTGAACATATTAGGTTGTTTAAGTAATTTCGTTTGGGAACCTTAGTATTAGTGTGTGGGCGGGCCTTGGTGTCTTTTCGGTAATAATTTCTACTTGCCCTGGTGGCATAATTATGGAGTGAACTTTCTTAACAATCGAATGGTTAAAAACATAACGAAGTATTCTGAGGATTGACACTACATATGGTATACAGGGCATAACTGAAAGATGCCTACTAACTCGAATGTTTCCGGGATTTTGTTCGATATTGAGTACACCAGCAGGAAGGTACGGTTGAGCAGGATTGGGTTGCGCGAAGAACATATACACCTTAGCTTTCAATCCTGAAACTTGGTTACTTTATCAGAGATTGATTCTGTTGCTGTCGACAAACAATGAAGAGGGCTTAAGAAAACTGGCAATGTGTCTTTAGGCAAACTGTCGTTAGGCTAAATGTCTTTAGGCAGATTGACCAATCACGGAATTTCTTGATGCTGAACTACTTTCTTCAATCGGAATGAAACCTACCAGCAGACTGCGAAGTGATCAGAGTGGCACAACTTAAAATGGTGAACGATAGAGACAACGATGACATTTTCACTGAAGTGATATTTTGATGATGTCGAATTTGAAAACGGTGAGCGTTTTTATAAGGACAGAATGACGGTTGACATCATTTCAAATAGCATTATGCATACTGATATCAGTAAATATTTACGTTTAGTTGTGCTCTCTAAAGAACACTCAATTTTGGAGTGTTCAATTAAGCGTTCATCTGTGACACGATAGAGATTTGCCATGCACAATAATGCATTAAGCCGCTGTGCACTGATTTCACTTTTCATGTGAAACTTCAAAGTGGGTATCATCCATTCAAGGGAATAACATGCAGTTATTCTTCTTGCTTCTTGCATGGCACTACTGGACGATATACTTAGCGAAATTCTCAGAAGATCAATCTTTGAATGTGAGGTGAACACTCCTCTCTTCAATCAACGAATCACTTGGTAAGCTGAAAGAACAATACTCTTTGCATTATCAGTTTCTAACAATACTTTCGAGCGATTCTCGCATGCTTTTCTTCATGGTGACGTCTATGATTTAGCATTTATGAACTGATAATCATGCTCTTTTAGTAGTCTTGCTCATTTTATTACCACACTAGTGAATGTTTTACTTGTGAAAGTCAAGTTGTTGTATCACGTGGGATGAAATTGAATTTCTTGTATATGATGATCAGCCAAAAAAANNAAAAAAATGCAATTCTGCTATAAAACGCTATCTTGTGGCTGACCGTTTATTTCGTCGATATTTTCACGTAGCTGAATCAGTAATACATGCTGATTGCAAAGTATTCTAATCATTTACTCGGACCAACGAATTTTACATTCTCTCGATCGCTTTCATATCAACGTTTGACGCCTTGCGAGTAGGAACAAGACAATGAAGATTGAGCGAGCGATTGCTTAATGGTACTTGATAATCGATCACTCTTATTGTTAGGAAAACCAGACACTAATTTTGTTGGTGATGTGAAGGAAAAATTTGAATACGAAATTGTTATGAATATTTTGAATAGTGCAAGCGTTTTCAATAGCAAAAACAATGATTTCCAGCTAGTCAAAAATCAATGCTGATTCAGTGCAGCAAATAAGCACATGATATCATTTTGACTGTATTCATGAACACATCCAGAAAGAAGACATTTCAAGCATAGAGCAAGCCTTGTTCAATGCGAGGCGCTCTGACGATCAGTGTGATGAGTTCAACTGCATTTGTTGCTTATCGTCGTCGACGATTTCATTGTCTGAACACGACGAACAAGTGTTGCCAGTTACATACGTGCTGCAAAAAGATTGATTAGAGTGATTTAAGGATTTCGAATGCAAATAAATCAAAAAGGTGCATTCTTAGTTACTAGGATATGGAATCGCATAAAGAACCTCTTTCGAAATTGTTCTGCTTAAGAAGAATTTCGGAAGATATGCACAAAACGAATACTATCATGTGTAGCATGCTTTCTAAATAAATTATGAACAAGCGTTCATAAATTAGATTTGCCATTGCCAATTCGTCCTCAGTGAGTAGGCCATGGCAAGTTTGTGTTTGCTTCCTGAACTAATTTGTTGTGCAAAGAGAACTAACTCCCAGAGCAACACTATGAATGTTGTTCCAGTTGGCGCTGCCACATCCACTTCGTTTGCTTGCTCAGAAATGCACGTCACAATTATGCATAACTCTCAATTGACCAGCAGCAGATGATTCAAATGACTCAAGCCGTTTTATTCGCATTTTGCTGCTGCTAGTCGAAAATACAGTGTATATTTCAGTTATGACAAATCATACTAATGTAGTATATCATAAATGTAAATAATTCGCCTGCAAAACATGTAGGACGCTCATCATGTACACTCCATTTGTGGTTCATGAACGAATGAATTGTCGAATTGCAATTTATCGATTGCATGAATTGCTAGTAATTTGAAGTTACTCTGAAGCAATGTCACCCAAAAAACTTCAATCATTTTAACAAAGCATTAGGCCACGAGAGTTGAGCACCTTAAACTGAAGTGCATCCTAAACCAGACAAACGGCTGACGATCATTTATCTGAAGATTCGAATTTTCACGCATCACTGAATTGTCCAACTGAAATCGAAAGATTTTCAATGTTGGTGTATGTATGCATGAGGGATGAACAGAAAGGCTTGCTTAAGATATCATCATTCAATTCTCGTTAATACATGCTATTGTCCAAATATGCTTCCATATTCTGCTCAAACATACGTTATTACTACTCTTGATAGACTTCCGTAGTTCAATGCATTCACCTATTGGATTCAACATTTTCATTTATTATCACTGTGCTCACAATACTGATGACACTGATCAACTTCTTCTTAACAATATTGTTTTTGAGATGGAATTGCATTGAAATGAATTATTTTTGAGATTTAATGGCATTTTAACTCATCGACTTTTTGTTGACATTCATCGTATACGAGTATGAGTAGAGTAAACAATTCATTAAGTATTGCTCTTTTTTGTTATGATGCGTTAGTCTCATCGTTATGTAGGTTTGAATATATGCTGTCAACATTTATAGAGAATACTGAATTCAGATTTATAAGAAGGTGTTTGAGCAATAGCGAACTACTCTTCGATTGGTCAATCGTTCCTTCGTTTTATTATCAGCGTAATCGATGAGTATTCAAAAACAATCTTCGCGGTCATTAATGAAGAATTTGGCGATGACTACTTCATTTATGTCAGATTCGTGATGCCTTTCATGCGGATAGAGTTTTGTCCATATTACTCAAGTGATTCAATGCAGAAGACACTCCGTGAACAGGTGAACTTATTGAATCTACCGTACTGCATTGTTCGTGCAGTCCAGGACTTTTATTTCGCTCTTTTGTGACTGATTCATTCATCTGTAGTTGCTTCTTCGGGTCACAAAAATAGAGTTGAATCATGCAGCACAAGCTTGCGACCCATATGAAAGTAACATTTCGTCGTGTTATTTGGGTATACGTTTCCATTGTTTATAAGTTTTATAGAATTCACTCAACCAAAGTATATCAGTCTTGGTTGTAGAAATCAGTTTATAGAAATGTGTTTATAGAAAAACACCGATTTAACTTTAAAATGAATTTTCTTATTCAGTTTATCCGTTTTTTTCGACCAATCGAGTTCGTATTATCGATACTTTGCTGCCGTATTCGTTGTCTGACTCCGAAGGGTCGAGCTGGTGTGGTGATCGAACGATGTCACGTCGTATTTTTAGTCGTGTTTTTAATTATCATTTTATCGATACTCCTCCTCCAAGTTCGTCTTCACTTGCAATTAACAGCAATTGACCTCAGGCAAGTAATACTTCAAATTGAATACAGTTAAGTACTCTGTGTGTATTACGTATCTGAAACAAAAAACAAAAAAACGCAAAAAAACAACAGAAACGTCTTTATCCACATTTAATGAACGTGCAAATGGACAAAATGGAACTGCAAAGCATTGATATGATGATAATAAGGAAAATGAAACACTAATGACTACGATCTTAACAATCACATTCATAACGCAGTAACGAGAGTGAAAACGTCAATGAACAGTCTGGAATTTAAGCAACTTTATAAGAACAGCATCACAAACGAGTTTCTAATTGTATAGTGAGCACCGTTACTTAGTTCATTGCATAATTCATATTCGATTTCGAAATCTGAGTGTTTAATGAAACTTATTCCTTATGATCAGTGCCAATATTGTAGGGCATCTTCATCGTTAGTTCTGACGATGTTTCAAGCTCAGGGATTCGCGAATCTGTTGTTTCTGATTTATTGGGATCGACAAAACGTCGCCGAAGCAATACGTCGATCACTAAACTCATCGTCAACTGGCATTGGTGTGCTCAGAAGACGTAACACACTGAACAATATTCAAGTTTGTGCTCTCCGTTCAAATCCTGTCATTTCATTTTCGATTATTGTTTGCATCATTCAGCAAAATATCATTTGGACTGTTTCTTAACAAAAACTTCGTAATGATTCAAAAAGAAAGTTTCTATGTGCTACATCATTCATTCATCTTACTGATGGCGTATTTATCGGAGTGAAATTTCCATTGAGTGTACAATTGGTAAAACAAAGAAAAATCCCGTAAGAACAGCAAATATCAACAGAAAATGGATGATAGCATTATTTTGCTCGTCTTCGTGAATATCGAACCGTTGTTCGGAGGAACCTTTCATTCAAGCTCAGCTTGACCTTTAGAATACGAATCCGCTTAAAAAAAGCAACGAAAACATCATCGAATATCTGCTGAAGAATCAGCATTCAAAGAACCAAGAACCAGCATTCACTGTAAAGACTGAAGTAATACTAAGTGTTGTCACTGATTGAAAAGATTTAATTTTATCAGGTGGCATCGATGCTGTGTGGATGTATATTGAGTTTACTGTTGGTATGCTTTACTGTCGTTCAATTGTTCACGATTCACTCATCGGCATCAGTAGATCAACATCAGCAATCCGAACACCACTATCAGCAGATATATTTGAAATGGGCACGGCTTTGTGTTTTTGTGTATTTATCGATATCGTTCCCGGCTGCATACGCTCAAATTGCAACATTCACGGGTATCATATCGGCTGAGTATAAATCGCTGAATGATGACTTCATGGAGGACGTTAACACCTATCAACTGCCAGTCGCAAAACATTACGTTTCAGCACACTGGAAACTCGGCAATACCTTCAATCTTTACCAGAGATCCCTGAGGTAACATCCATAGTTCAATGTTGATGAACTGAAGTTTCGTCGAATCTGTAAACATTTTCCGGATGAGACCACCGCATTCCGAACTGGATGGGTTCACGAGCACGAGCAAGAGCAATAAGTGAGCAGGCCAGAAATGCATGATTGATGAGCGTTGCTATGAGCGGCTCGAGAATTCCTCATAGGCCCGTGAGCAATGAGCATGCAACACCTTTCTTCAAAAATTCCTCATCACCACAAAACTTTTCATCTAATCCTAATTTAGTTTTTTATTTTATGGCTCATTCAGGGAATTCGTTAGTTACTCGAGATTGACATAGCGCAAGTCCCGGCCGAAACAAAACAGTTAACCTCCAACTTGCCCTTCTTCCATCCACATCAACATTTCAGTTTATGGATGAGTGTTCATCTGATGACATCGTTTGCATCATTAGCATTCATATGGATATCCGTGCCATCAGTTCGCAGCATTTTGCAACAATTTGAAAGCTCAATCGAAATTCAACGAGTATTTGAGTTGACATTCGGATTTGTGCTCTTATTATTAACGATTCTGACGATAATCGCTCTAGTGATAGTGTCGTTGCTCGTTCGATTTCATTCAACTAGGATGCGACATTCAATGATTGCATTGATTGCAAGTGATCGAATACTTCACGAACAGGTTTATTTATTTGCTTGTTTATCCACGCTGAATATATTTGCTGAATTTACATTTTGACGTCTAGCAACAAATCAGCATGAAACTTTGCATGCAAAATCACTCATTTCTTCGAAAGAACACAAACGTCTTTAATGTCGCACTCTCGTTGAATTGAACATCGCAAAGGCGATAAATCATCTCCACGAAAGTCAATCCATTATTTCCACGTTTCAATTGCCTCCAGCAGCCTCATGAAAGTCAACGAATGTTCCGAAATTTGGCAAATTTCATGAGAATCTTTGAATAGTTTACGTCTGTCTCATCAATATCCTTTGCAGACGTATTCGTTGGCAATTGCATACATCAATCATCTACACAGACGTGGGTTGGGTATAATGTTCTTCGAAATTGCATTGATTGACAGACATTTCATAATTAAGGTACGTGAATTGTGTTACTGCCCAGTCATTGGGAGGCAACGTTATTGGAGACATAATCTGTTGTCACGATCAGCCATTCTGAATTGGCACAATGCAGGCATTCACAAGTTGTGGTTTGTCTGTAGAAGAATCACTTCTTTGATAAATGAAGCAGCTTCTGAATGATCCTTTCTGTAGAATAAGGTCTGATGAAAAATTAAATACTGACCCAGATTCCCCGATGATCGGCGAGGATCACCGGTAAATAATGGAAGTAAGTGCTCTGAAGTGAAGTTTTAAAAGTTAAAACGGTTGGAATTGAAATTTATTGATGTTTATAAAGAAGTGAACTATTTTCAGACCTTGTTCGTAATGGTTTTTACAGCGATTGTTTTACGCTACTGAAATTGTCTGGAGGAAAGCGGAATAGCACAAGTGATATATATCACTGACAATGACTGCCAAATAAAGACATTCTTTTTTTCTCTTGTTAAAACGTGTTGTTTTCATCGCTCGAAACACCATGAATGTAATCAGCTACCTGAACAATACAGAATCTCATTACAAAACCTCCTCTCAAACGGTTCGGTTAGTCAGTCGAAGGCGATCCAACTGAAGACATAAGTTGACGGAAATATTCGAAAGCTCCATCGATCGGTATTCATGTAGTCAGTCACATCAATAGGCTTATTCGAAACGGCAGCCAAAAATTATTACTGTTATAAATTGCCATATTTTCCGCACTATAGGGCGCACTGTCAATGGATAGTCTATTTTCGAACTTTTTTCTTATTTAAAGCGTACTGGACTATAAGGCGCATTAAGGGNGGGAACAAAACAGGTCAGTGACCATCGAGGCCAGTAACCAGAATTCATCCATATATAAGGTGCTCCAAGTTAAAAGGCGCACTATTGTTTGTCGAGAAAATTAAAGGCTTTTAAGTGCGCTTTATAGTCCGGGAAATGCGGTGCTTTACGATGGGTAAGGAACGTGAACGTAACAAATGCAATCTACTAAAAGTCGTCTTCTCCCCTTAGAAGGAATAAACCTCGTTGCTCTCAACGTCACTTGAATTTTGAATTCTCAGGTGAACATCTTTAAGGTCATCAAACACTCGAGCGTTAAGTACAACACATCTTTGCATAACCATCAGGTCGGAAACGTTCCACTCAGATCTCCAAACATCTTTGCATAACCATTTTCCAAGTAATGATTCGCAGTCAAGCAAATTTGGTCAGATTTCCAAAGAAACTCAACAATTACAGATTATCTCATTGCGTACCTGATGAATGTTGAAATCCGTCGGACTTAGGCTCTGCTAGATTATGGTCAATCCACAGTGTAACGTCTGTTATTACCATAGATTTGCTGACTACCGATACTTCGTATTTGGTTGTGGAGTGAAAAGAAAAACAAGTGGAAGAACGATCTCATTTAATCTTGCAAAATATACATGACAAGAGAATCAGCTGATGCACAGTACTGAACGATATTGTTAAGGATGAGGATATCATAATGAAAATAAAGTGAACACGACAACACCAACGACCTTGAGCACTCCATTTTTTCTTACATGAGGCTAGTAATTCGGTGAATAACACGATACCCAGAATCCCTTCATTTTTCGAATCACTATCAGTTTCCCAACAGTGAATGCTCTTTACAATGGCTTCATTTCAAGAGATCTGCTAATCGAGAACCACAACTGAATAAAATTTTCGTCCACTCCAACTACGCAATGAAATAATTCCAACAGACCAAATGATTTTTATGACCAAAGTTTTTATCGTATAATTCAAGAAATCTCAATCAGATACAAGATATGCGATGAACAACATCTGGGAATAGCATTGACGTAGATGAATGTAATTTATGGATAATTCTGGAAGAGCACGAGTAGCACAACGGCAGTTGAAACAAGACACATGTACATACGAATGACGACACAACAATCACTTTGAGCTGGTGTACTTGGTTACTGCCTTCGTGCCTTCCGATACGGCGTGTTTCGCCAACTCACCCGGCAGAATAAGACGAACCTAAAATCAGTCATCAAAACAACAAAAGCTACATGAAAGACAAAAATTTCAAATGTTTGCTGCTTTACAAACCCACTGAAAATACCTCTCGTGATCACCGATCAAGCCCAATTAATGAATCAACACCAGCAAATCAACATCTGTGCGCAATTACCATTGCTAACATAAGTTCCAGTCGAAAACGCATGCGTTGAACTTATGTTTGTTACATTTAAAAATAAGTGAAACAACTAACCGCAGTTTGAATTTCACGCGATGAGATCGTTGAGCGTTTGTTATATTGAGCAAGGCGACTTGCTTCAGCGGCTATACGTTCGAAAACATCGTTGACGAACGAATTCATTATTGACATCGCCTTCGACGAAATTCCAGTGTCCGGGTGCACCTAAAATTCCACTATTTATACTCATTCTTACCCTCGTTCTCTTCAAATTCCGATAAAGAATTGTTCATTCGGTTCGTTAAACCACTCGTCAAAATACTCGGTTATCGCAGTTTGCATCAACGGAATGCGAACTAAAGAATGGTACGGCATTGTAATGAAGCCATGACAATTAACAACTTCCAACTGACCTGTTTCAAGACACGGTAAATATAAACACTGTACGACTCTTTTCGATTCCTTCGCTTCTTATCCACCGAACGCATCTATAAAACTGTTTGTTTCATTAATCATCTATTCACACAATCAACTCTACAGCAATAAATTTATGCCTACCAAAGTGCTGTAACACGGCATAGCTCAACTGATGAAAATTAATAAGCGGCTTTTATGTGCTATATTTTCATTACAAATACGTTCTTCTCAGAATAATTCATCATAAATTCACCTAATGAGTAGAAACACCACTTGTTAATTCAGCTACATACAATTACTTTCACTCTTTCGTACCACGAGACTAACTTAAGAGTGATTCTACATTTTACAGATTAACAGAAATCAAGCATTAAAGCGATTACAAAAATTCGATTAAAACAAAATACCTTCTGGGACTTGGCTGCCTTCTTGGCCCCCTTTGGCGATGGCTTCGGCGGCATGACCACTGGTACAACCTACCGCAACTGCGCGAGAAATCCACGAACGACAAACGAAAGAATGCTGAGAATACATAGTGCCGAAAGTGAGTCAATCTATTTATACGTTTTGCTGAGCGCATTTAAGAGGCGGAGTTATTGCGCTCACTTCTGGGTATATATAGTCTATTGATCTGGTCGGTGAGGTGTATAGTGTGTTCGTGCATTTGCTTCCGAGGTGTTTGGTTCCTTCTTGTGAGGTTCGGTTTCGCATTCTCAATTGTTTCCGAGCATCAGCAAATATGTCTGGTCGTGGTAAAGGAGGTAAAGCAAAATCGTCTGCAAAGGCCAAAACTCGCTCGAGTAGGGCTGGCTTGCAATTTCCGGTTGGTAGGATTCATCGACTTCTTCGGAAGGTTCGTTTTTTTAAGGTTGCTCTATCGTAAAACTCACATCCATACCTCAGAGGTTATTCATTTCCAGGTTTCAGACGTATTCAAAAATTTTAAGAATTGATTCTAAATTCAAGTCGTACTGAATCGCTTCAAATCTTTTCAACCCAACTTCTGCTAACCATCTGGTGCAGCGTGCAAGTGTAATGTTATGACTTGTTCACTAAATTGTGCATCCCAAGCAGCCAATCCGCATCGGTTACCATTATACTGATGACTGCAAAAGCAGTGGTCATTCCAATGTCATAACTTAATTGCAGGGTAATTATGCGGAGCGAGTTGGAGCTGGTGCTCCAGTCTATCTGGCCGCAGTATTGGAATATTTGGCAGCAGAAGTGCTAGAGTTGGCGGGGAATGCAGCGCGTGATAACAAGAAGAGTCGAATCAATCCACGACATTTGCAATTAGCTGTTCGCAACGATGAAGAATTGAACAAACTTCTCGCTGGAGTCACCATTGCGCAAGGTTAGTTCCCATCTCCTTTATGGAATGTTTTCATTGGTTCTGATCGTGAATCTTTTGCAGTTTCAATAGTTTATTTCAACCGAGCGTTATTGGATTGTAATTTATTTTGATTTTTCGAACCACTATTGGATAGTAAATGCGATTGGATTGTCTTTGTCGCAATATGTTCACATACAATAAATCCATCTGAACATAATTTTGCTCAAAACCGAGTACTATTAGAAAACATTATCGAGCATAAGCAGAATAGGGGTTCGTTTTATGTCGTATAACATGTGCGCATTACAGGCGGCGTCTTACCGAATATTCATGCCGTATTGTTGCCGAAGAAGATGGCTGGAGATAAAGATTGATTACGTTGTGTGTTTGTAATTTGATGTTGTTGTGCAATATCACCCGCATTCTATTTCTCATTCTGTGATGTGTATAATGTTCATCTTCCTTCCATTCGATGTTATCACATTCTAGGGTTTGGTCGGGGGTGAAATCGGGCTCGGAGGGCTCTGAGAGTGAAGTTCAGGGTCGTGCCCCCCCCCCCCCACCAAGAAGAAGTTCACACGAGTGTTCGGATTCTCCGAAAATATTCTCTCGGGGATCCTCGACTCAACCCTGTCGTATTCTATGTTATCGTTTCATAATGTTTTTATTGTCGCAAAATAAAAAGAAATGTGCTATTTGTAGTCTCCTTGTTCACACATTTTATTACCAATTACCAGCCGTTGAATTGCGTCTATCTTTGTGCGTGACATAACGTTGATCGTTCTGCCAGGGTCTACCAAGCAGTCCCCTTACAGAGCAGTATCCGGTCATTTAACCCTACTGGTTCGCTTCATTTGATTTGAGCAATGCAGACGCATGTTCACCACTTTGCACATATCACAAAAGGTTGACATGGTAACTCAAGATCTGAACTTACACTGTGTAATTTTCATATGTTCTGATGTGGTCACATATAGTGCCTAGGTGAAATGAATAAGCGTTTTGCATTAGTAAGAAAGGACTATCGTTGGTGATTCCATTGGTGGTCTCGCGTAACACACGAGTAGCCATTGAAGCAATTCTCTTCACCTGAAATTACGATGGGGTGGAGTAGGGCTTAAGCTTCATAATGAGCTCGGGTGGATCTCGGTAAACCTTAGGTTAAGCCCCATGATGAACCGCGGCAGAATGCAAGGGCAAGACTTTATTTGGGGCTGGTGAATAGTTGACCTCTTTCATAGAATACGCTAACTACAAGATCGTATCTTCAATCTAAAGAAAAGGATTGTCTAATGTCGAGATGTATTATTCGGAATGATGCTAAGCTGAGCGCTTATTTCGGATGTTTGTCTTAACTAGACAGTTAGATTAAAATAAAATAAAGCAAAGTACCATGAAATGAAACAATAAATATAATTTACATAACACCCACACAAAATAGTGAGCACGAGTTCGCACTGTTCAAATCGAACCGAAACGAACTATGGGGAGTTCAATAACGGGTAGGTACTACGTTGTAATAAAGGTAGGGAGCTAAATATCCATCACCATTCGGTCAAGCAGTTTGGCCGGCCATAACGGAGTAGAATCACTGGAAATCACCGATATGAAGCTGGTTAGAGTGAATCGTTGATGGAGAATACTCGCCCTTGTTCTGCTAACAACGCAAGATTTCTTCTCTAATTCTCTGCATATTGTGAGTTCAGGAAATCGATTTGCTAGCAGCCGCACGAGCTATTGGATGATATTTAAATTGTAATGGAACGAGTTGGGTGACTGATGATTGTGAATACTGCGAAACCTTTACGAAGCAGAGCACGGGAATGACAAGAAGTTGAGTTTGTAAATATAGTGATCAGCGAGCTGAATGCCGATAGTCTTCACGTGCAAAAAAGCTCACAGCTGAGATTTAACCATGAGCTGTGGCGAATACTTCGGCGAACTTTCATTAACATCCTTATTGTGTTGATAGCGCCTACCAATCATAATAACAATAATAATGCAGTGTTGGTTTCTTGAGATGAACAGTTGTTTTTTCATGTTCAGAAATGTGTTAGTAATTGAAACTTGTTTAGATTTGTGGAAAGTTATCGATCATTGGTTTTGAAGAAGTTAAGTCAAGATAAACAGATATAATTGATCGTCGTTCTCGGGTAGTAAGGTGTTGTGGTGCTCTGAGCTTATAGCACCGATATGAGCGCTAAGATAAGCCCTTCTCCACCGCTCTATACGAAAGTACTAGTTTATTGTGCTTTACAGGTAAGTTATTCTTAATTGATCAGCTCATCGGTGCGTTCAGAATTTTTATTTCAAAGAGTGCCTTCTCACACCACAACGCATCGTTTTGTCACATCATCAAACACTTTTATTCTCAAAAACGTTTTCGTTTATTGGTGCTTTCTTCAATACCTTTTGAAATACTGCCATTTTACATATGAATGCTGAACATTTTGAGCAGTAGTTCACTATGCTTTAGGCGTTAAAGGTTAGGATTTTTAAGTGCAAAATGACTGTTAATGAAGCAGTCAAATAAGGGGTGATCGAGTATGGAACTAAAACTTCGCATTTTCAGGCTGCGTTTGTGTCATTTTTATTTGCATATTACGATGTAGAGGCGGGACGATTAATTCGGCCTGTCTTCGACTGGCTCATTGAAAAAGTTGAAGAAGTTAGTGCGAGTTCTGTGTCGTCAAATTTAGTGGACCAGTTTTTCTGTAAAGTTTTGAGTTATTCACCATGTTTGATATTGACGTGCTTACATTAGACTGATCGGAAGTTCATCTGATATTGATTTAGCACTAATATTAAATTCTTCACTTTACAGCAAATATCTCATGAAATCACATGTAGAAAGACGACGAACTACGAGTTGTCGCATCCAGAAATGTTACAAACAAAAACTTCCCAACTTGCGTATTTTCCTGGTTTTTATAAGTTCAATGAAAATTCCAGTTGTTCCTTCTTCTTTTCATTCAGCCTATCTTCTCGAGAAGACATGGTTCAGTTTGGAACATGACGGTTGAAAACATAGGGTGGGTTGAAATGAAAATTCTTGAGCTGATCGTAAGAAGGTCATGCCATATCTGTTATTCAGTTCGTTCTTCACTGTAAATAACCTTGTCTCATTTCACAAATAAGCATAGGAACGAATCTATTCAAAATCTGCAGATGTTCAGAAGTGAATGTGTAGTTGGATAATTCGATCTTAGTTGAATCGAAGCAAATGTCTTCTAGGTACCAGTAGCGAAAAGTGCCATTGATACGGTAAAGTCTGTTGTGAGTGTGAATGAACCAACTGAAAACGAGGACGTTCAGCGTCCACGAAAGAAAATCTCAAAGCCGAAAGAAGCAATAAATGAGAAGAAGCTGGATTTGGGTGACGATGTCAGTTATCTTCCTGTTTTTTCCAGGTATTTTCACTTTTATTCCTGATTGTTTGATGACCTGCTAGTAAGTAGTGGAACACTAACTGTTTCGAGCCATAGAGTTAGGAAGTAATGCAAATTTGTGATTTGAGACAAAATGATAAATGACTCAGCTTTGGTATGTTCTGCTCACTTTTTATCGAATGTGATTATGAAAGTGTGTTGAAATTAGATATGATTCATTTTTAATGGAGTATGGCGTGCATAGTGATAAGCTTTTTTCAAGATATGACACGAACAAAGGGGTCGGCAGTGCAGAAAACACCTTCAAAAATAGAGTGCTTTTTCAGAGAGCAATTGGCGTTGTTCGATGGTTCGCGGCCATCGAAAGATGTTTATTTGGCCCTTTTGGGACGTGTGTACAACGTTCAACGAGGTCATAAACATTACGCGCCAGGAGGAGGGTATCATTTCTTTGCAGGTTAGATATAAACTGATATTGAAGGGTACTAAAATGAATGAATCATGTTTTGAGCTGGTGAGAAATGTTTGGTTAATGACCATGGACATTGCATTTAAACGTATGATTTAGCTGTTTTGATGAGCGATAGTAACTCAGTCCGCAATTCATGCCTTTGATTACCGACAACTATGGCATGAATTTGGTCACACGTACTCTGTCATGAACTTGGTTATATGTATTGTTTAATTTCTGGAGATATTGACATTCGAATGCAACCATTCAATCAAAAGCTGTTCAAAACAGTCAAAATTGTTTCAGTAAATAATTAATGCTTAGTTTTGTACTGCAGCCGTCTTTTTGGTTCTTCTCATTAATGTATATTCCGCGTAAGTTTGTTGGGTTGAAAAAAGATTGTAGACTGGTAATAGTTTATTGAGTTGTTTTTTTACAAAGAGATTGTAGACTAATGTGAAAGTATTTGCGCACATTTGCTGCATTTGAATATATCTGCAGGTAAAGACGCAACACGCGCTTTTGTAACGGGCGATTTCAGTGATGAAGGCTTAACGGACGATGTTTCGGGGCTGTCACATCAAGATATACTTGGCATTAAAGAGTGGAGTAATTTTTATGAGAAGGAGTATGAACTGATTGGTTTGCTGCAAGGAACATATTACGACAGTCATGGTCAAGCAACACAACGATTGAGGGTAAGATGGTTGTCACAATTCAAAGGATTCATTTTTCATGCACTTCCACGAAATCACCATTTCATAAGTCTGTTAAAAGCATTTTTGAGCGTTTAGAAGAGCTGAACGTGAAATCAGGAGACCATCTGCCTTATGTGGTGTTTCAATGTTTTTGATGTGCTAGCATCTTCTCTGTTTGGGGGAATTAAAGTAGACAATGGCGGTGACATAGGTGCTTTTCGATTGCTGGTTGAGGGGGAGTTTGTTGTAGTGTATCATTCAAGGAGGTGTTGGGAATGATGGAGGATGCAAAGTTGTGGAAGGCTGCTCAAACCAAGGAAAGTGAAGTGTTTCCACCGTGTAACTCTGAATGGCATAAAGACTCTGGAGGTAGAGTTTGGTGTACGAGCAAAAGGTATGCATGTAGGGTTTTGATTGCTTGCCGAAATTTTGATCATGTCCTGGTATTTCCATTATTTACATTGCTCCATTCAAGAATGTGAATGATTTATACCGGCATAATATTTGTGACTTATTTCCAGTGGTGGTATTCACCGAGAATGGGTTGGTGTTCCGCGGAAATTATTCAATCCTGGTGCGAAAACATCACGGTATGCTTCTATCCTATTATCGTCGCTGCTTTTGCTATAACAAGCTTGACCTTAAGATCTGAGTCAATTCCAAACAAGCCTTCATTGGTATTTTCACCTACTCCCCCTTATCGTCCTTTTTTGTGTCTAGAACGTTGGGAAATTTGCAATTCAAATCCATTGTCAGTATTTCGTCATCTACTGACAACATATTTTCAGATGTGCATGTGTGAAAAATTTTGGACCGCCATTGTCAGTGTATCCGGACAGAGATGAGGAAGGTACTCGTGGTGATTTGAGCAATCCGAATCTGCACGAATATCCTGGATGCAGTCCTACGTCGAACTCATGCAAATTGCAAGAAGATTAACTAGCTGATCAATGCGATGATAGATTTACTAATTGTTTCACCGAATACAAACTCAGATTTCGAAAGAGACTTCAAAACTTCTCTGCATGTGCAATCATTTGTTACTTAATGATTGATTATGACTTACTGTCAGTGTCCTGTAAACATGTCTCGAGCAGCAATCTGGGAACCGTCTTTTAAGAAGTATCTTGGCATTCAACTCGTTCATAATTTTTATGATGCTAAAATTTGTTGTTTGATGAATCGTCCTCACTGAGTGCCTTCTGGTTTCTGTGAGGAACTTCCAGCAGATGGGAAATACGAGGTGAAAATGTAGTGTTATATGTTGTAAGCTTCACAAGCTTCACAAGTCAAGCTCAACTGAGTACCTTTAGTGTTTTGTGCCTTTAGTACGTTGACTGTTGCTCTTTTAGAGTAGAGCTTTCCGGAAACGAGATAATAACAACGTTTGGGATTTCTTCAGATTACTCTTGATTCATAGAATAATTTTATTAACAACTTCCTCTTCCAACTAATTAGTAGTTCAACTACTGGTATCATTTTCGAGCAGTCTTTTGTTTTCCTTTAAGGAGTTTTTGTTGTTTGTGTTTGGTAATGTATAGTGATTGGATTAATAGGGCCATTCAACGTTATTCTATTTGAACTACCGCTTTGAGCGACCAAAAATTTTATGTTTCATTGCAACCTTGGAAATCAGCGATAATTTTGTGGGTTCTTTCGAAAAGCACGGGTGTCGCATTCTCGTACGGCTTACGCCTTACAGATTTGATTGTTACTGTTCTTGATGAGACTTTTTTAGAGTGTTCTTCCGGTATTCGTTTCAGCTGAAAATTAGAAATTTCATACTTCAGATAGAGGGCACAAACTTTTTTTTTTTGGGGGGGGGGAACATTTTCAAAATTTCAATGGTTCTGAAGTGACCATGGGTGGTATTTGAGTTATATTGCAATAGTTTAGCTTAGCTCAAAACAGTGGTCATTATAACGTTGACTAAAAAATCAGGCTTGATGTTGTCTTATTATGCCTTCGATTAGGTTTGTGTTTTTAGTGTATGAAGATGTATTTGTTATGAATATTAATAAAATTCTTGTCCAATAAGTACTTGCACCGAAACGCATTCCCATCTTACAGTCACTCCTCCTATGCTAAGTGATTCTATAGTATTCAGACAGGTCCGAGTGGATGACAAAGTTGACGATATTCNCGATAAGGTCACAGAGTAAGACCGGGTTTGAAGAAGAGATATTCTATGTGAGAAAGAATGGAATTTTCAGTCAGTCTTTTGACTTATCAATAATGTCAAGAAACACTGAGGTGATCTGGTAAGCGATAGATTTTTTACTGTTCAACCCAGCTCCCGTTGAGTGTTCACTCCAAAAAAGTGTTACATGCTCGGAAATGATGAATGCTGAACTTAGTCTGATGGTAGTGCTATGGATCTCTCTAAGGACGCAATCAGAATTGCACTGAGCTCTTATAAACTTCAAAATCAGTTGATCGTTCCGTACTGACATAAACGCTATAATAAGAGCGATCTAACGATAAGTGGTCACTGATCACTATTATAACGATGGTGATTAGTAAGAAACAGAAAGACGCAATTGCCATTGCATTATGTTCACTTGGCGGTGTATTATGCAGCTATGTTGAAATGACATCAAACTGGCGTTTTAATCTTTGTTTTACTACATTTAAAATCATGATGAAAGCACAAAGCATCAATTTTGTCGTACGGCTTTTTCTTGACATGTGCAACTCTTATCAAAGATTTAATGGAAAGAGATTAGTGACATACGATGTTATCAGTTAGTGCAATGATAACACTGCATCATATTGCACACCCGAACATGATAAAATAGTCACTTGCTTGCTATGTACAGAAAGGTGAAATGTACTAACTGTTCGTTGTTGGGTTATATAGCTTTCGTCTCTTCCATCATATTCGTTCCGTTTTCTGCCAGTTTCATTAGTAACGTTCTCATTTTCAAGAATTCTGCTTGAACGTGTCTCATTCAGTTTCAGACAGAACCATGGGGCTATCAGAAAGCTGAGCCCTATAAAACCAAGGTCAATTCTCCGACTTTCTGCAGTGCTTGACGTTACCAATTTGTGAGTGGTACCGAAGCACTCCACGTAACAACAGAATTAAGCTCCCTCCCCATTTGTGACAATAAAATCAGCCTACGTTCCTGAGTGCGTAAGGAGCTTCACCAAATATTAGGCTCTAGCCGCTGGTTCGACTCAAGTAACGGTGATGCGAAACGCCTCCAAATAAGTAAATCCTAGAATGATTTGAGTACATTGACAGTGCTGATATGTGTCTAAATCGAACTAAAACTAGAATATTGTCAGCGTTTTTCATTGAATCAAGCCAAAGTGAATTTGCGAAATTAAAGTTTTGGATGTTGCAGAATTTAGCTTTTGGAAATGGCGGATTTTGCGAGATTGAACGCGAATCGTTTTCATATACTGATGTTCATATTATGGCAAATCGCACTCTTATTCTGCGCTCAGCAAATATTTCCAATCTTTTACGATTATTACCCAAACCGTAAATGTGATGACACCTATGGTATGTTACATGCAAGTTGTTTTATAGCTTCACATCGGATCTAATACTCTTGCTTCTCATCTACGTTGCAAGCCCATAATCGAGTTCATCGTTCCAAAGCAGACCAATTTTGAGATGAAGCGAGCAATCAAAAGTGATGACAGCTGAAACCCAACCTGCATCGGTTGAAAACTGATTGAATTTATTTCGAAAATCGATTACCATTGAGAGAATCAAAATTCTTTCACTCTCCTATTAAAAGTACTTCAAACCGAAGAATTAAAAGTACTTCAAACCGAAGAAGCATCCTAGTCGAAGACGATCAATAATCCACCGAACTTCGGTCGTTTACCATTGCTGGCCGTTGTATTGTGAATGTAAATGACACTCACAATATTCTTTGTGTTTGCAACAAAAGAAATTAATCCGCTCCAAAGTATGTATTATGTCATGTTTTCACAGCGATAACGAACACTTATTGTCGATTTGAAGTTTATTCTCGTCACAGCTATATGCACCTACTCAAAAGTTGTTCTGCAAAATTATTTGCAGTTTAACTGATCATGGCTCAGTAAGATAAACGCCAAACACCTGAAAGCAAAAAGCTTTATGTTCCAGTTTTAGTTCAATTTAGACTCTTATCAGCATTGTTTTTGCTGCAAACATATTGGTTAAGGCCACCTTATAACGTTCAAACAATTCAGTGAACATTGCTATAATTTAGGTGCAGGCGTATGGAATATTTCATCAGATGACTGCATGCCAATCCACAGTGAACAGTGCGTGCTCCTTCAGAAGTGCCATAATATTTCGTTGTTGCATGTGGATTTCCACGGCATTGTTGAATATTTTGGTCTCTATTGTGGTCAGCAGTCATATTCGTCAACCCTGGTATCATTTTTTCACTTTTTTAAATTTTTAGGCAATCAAGCCTCGGTATCGAGTTGGTGTGAGCTTAATTTGAAACCATAACTTCAATAAAAACCCAGAACAATTTCCAATTTTGGACTGTCACTTCGGATGCAGTATATCGGGAGTGAATATCTCATGAAATAATCTTATTTCGCTCAGCCTAAAATCGCCGAATTCCTCGCTGATTTACGTATGCATCAAAATTGCAATGCTCGTTGGTTTTGATGAATAATTCAAAAGAGCACGACTCAGATGCAATAGACTAATAACACACGTTCCAGGTGAGTACACTTCAGTTCATTGGAGTTCTGTGTGGTACAATAACGTATGGACACTTAGGCGATTATTTCGGTCGAAAAGCAGTCTCGTTATTTGGTATTACAGTAGGAATGATCTGCGGTATCGTAAGTGGTAAGACCGCGATATTATTTGGGATATTATAGAATAAAAGCATAAGTAAAACAGTGTTCAGCCATGAGCTGACTATGAGAAACTGTTTCGAAAGCTGGTGGGAACCGCTGTGATTTGCTATCATGGACTACAGCAGCATAAATTTGACACTGGGCCTGAAAATTGTGATTCCAAATCGTCAGTGAATTCAAATAAATATGAAGAATCATTCAGAATCAATTGTGAATTTCAGGTCTATCAGTTTCATGGCAAATGTTTGCGGTACTTCGTTTCTTTGTTGGTACTTCAATTGCATGTGTATTAGTTGTGTTCTATACTTATGTCCTCGAACTGATTCTACCTGAACAACGTGTCTTTCTCAGATCCTTCTTCAACTGGGTTCGTGGATTTGCATCTTTAGAACGGTCACAAAAATGTTCCCGAAGTGGGGTCATTGTTGAAGAATTTCGTTTCAAACAGATCGAATTGATTGGACCAATGATAGAATATCCTTGTTCTGTGGATTGATTGACTGTGAAGGATATCATACTTCATTGATTATCGTTGAGAAACATTACTGTGATTGTTTAACCGAACATTTTTTCGTGATCCTTCTTGAAAGTTAATTACAATATATGTATAAAGCACATCATTGGATAGTGAGAAATGTTTAAGGGTTACGCGAGACTCATTTTCACTCTTGTCTGCTTCTTATTACCACACTGGAGAGTGGCAAGTATCGTGACGTCTGTGCTCATATCCCCCCTCATTCCCATCATTGCATTTCTTCTACCCGAGACTCCTAAATGGTACACGTCGAAACAGCGATTTGAGCACGCAGAACGTGCATACAAGCGGGTCAATTGGATTAGCGGTCAACAAGGTTGTACATTCAGAATTAATTGTTCTAGTTCACCCAATAAGCCGAAATCATTTTGTTGACACGTAACTTTCTGGAGAATGTCGGTGAAACAAGTCAAAATAACAAAGGAACAGCTTCTTGAAGTCTCTTCCTGCGTACTGCGTTACGACGAGAAATTTTCATATTTGCGCACTTGAGTAAGAGGAAAGAAAACGGTTTGTCAAGAAATACTCTGACTGAATACTAGCGAAATTGAAATTTTATTCACTAATGCCAATTCACGAAGCGATGCACTCACTGAATCATGAAAATCGCCTAACTGCAGATACTGAAACAATTAGTGCTGAACATTTGAGAGCCGAATTCGAAAGTGCGGATAAACGCGTTTACACAATAATGAATCTCTTATCGAATCGTCAACTTGCATCTCGAACTGTTGTTATGTGCGTTCTGTGGTTTGCGACCAGGTGACGTCTTCATCATTCGGTATTGCTGATCCATCAAGGAATTTGACGTATCACCGACATTTTTATGGATTATTTGTTTGAAATTGCATAGAATCGATCCTTAAATGTTGCCGAGAACGGACGACGAAAAGTGCATTGCCTCGATTCACATCGATATCAGTTTGACTTTTCGATTAACAAAAACGAACACGATGAGCCAATTAATTTTCATTGCAGTCTGAGCGCATTTGGAAGCGATTTAAATTCAGGCAATCTTGGTGGTAATTTCTACTTGAATCAGTTCATCATGAGCCTTGCGATTGCATTCTCCAAAATTGTGAGTTGGCACTTGTTGCCGATGCTTGTGTGTATGTTTGCGTTCTAAACGTCATTTTTCAAAATTCCATCTGACTTTGATTCCTGCTACAATGAAAAATTCCATGTGCATGTCATATTCTCAGTGAGACGTTTGTACTGACGCTATAGTTTATTATTTCATTTCTGCAGTTATCGTTTACACCGTTGCCATTTTCATGATTGCATGTTCTAGTAAAAATGGAAAACAATGATAAGTGTCGAAAGTTTTAGAATAAGTATGCTTAGGATTACATGTTAGTGTTAGAAGCACATTTTCCTCTGATACTATCATACACTCACCATGCAATAGTTGTTGTAGGCAATCTATATTCTCGATTCGCTTATTCCAAAATTCAGTAGGCGTTTACTGCATCAGATACCACAAGGTCTAATGGTATGTTGCTACGCCAGCATTATGTTCATCATGATATTTGGTGAATCAGCAAAATGCGAAGAAAAAAGCAACTCACCAACTGATATTGCAAGTATGCCACAGATTTTTCTTATTTTGATTGACAACATTTATGAAGATGTTGAACAAATTACAATATCAAGTTGATTGGTTTTGATTACGAAAACTCGGGGAAAAAATGATGACGAAAGCAGGCAATATATGTTCTCGATTCGCTTATTCCAAAATTCAACGGGCACTTATTGCATCAGACACCACAAGGTCTGATGGATGTTGCTACACGAGCATTATGATCATCATGATACTTCATATAATACATAATGATATCCAGAATATTAATGGTACGCTGTGAAAGTGACTAATTCGCCAACAAGGATAATTGTTATTTGCAAGTACGTTCATTCTAGGATGTGATCTTCTAATATTATGATATGTTCGGTTATGGATTTAGTTTTCAATTTCAGTAATCGTAATTAATATAGTCGGTGTTTCATTGATTGAAATCACCTGGGATGCATGTTATTTATGCGCTGTCGAAAGTTTCCCCACTGAGGTTCGTAGCATTGGAATGGGAACGTGTTCATTACTGGCAAGAATTGGAGCACTTATCGCCCCACAGGTGATTGTTTGATGAATACAATCAAATTTTTGAAAATAGTGTAAATTAGTGATGATCACATTAATATCACCGTAATGTTAACTTAATGAATTATACTGATCCTCAATTAATATTCCAGTTTTACTCTAGTATTTATCAAAACAAATGCTTCGTCAAAGATCGAATGATTTCTGTAAAAATTGTTCAAATAATTCATTCCATTCAAACTGATAATTGAAATTAATTTCGAAATTTTCTGTGAACATCGAATTTGAAAATTTCAGATGGCTTATATGTCATCGTATTACAAAGCTGCACCGTACATTCTTGTTGTCGTGATCGGATTAATCAGTTTCATTGTTTCGATTGTCTTTCTGCGCGATACAAAGGGAGTCGAATTGGTTGGCTTACTGGGAACAACAAAATCGAATCAATCAGTCGCAAAGGATTTTTCAACGGCAACAACAATTTCTGCGTTGGAATGTGATTTTAAGCTGAATGAGAATTGCACAAAAGAGACCGAATGAAATTGAGGGGATATGAAACTTTCGATTGCCTGATTAGTGCAAATATGGAAATATGAAACTAAACTCTATCATTGTTGCGAATTGGACGAATTTTACTTTCAATCTTTGGCGAACGGAATTCTTAAAATGGTGAATGCTGAAATAGTAACTGGATCGAATCGAAGAGTGAGTGAGGTCCGATGATGCATTAAATAACTTTCTCGATGTGAATGCATTAACGAATGTTTGCTTCCCGAATGAACGCTTGTGACGTTATATCAATCACATCATGAACTGTACAAATGCTCCCATCGAAATAAATTAACTGCCAATAAAAGATGTATTGAGAATCTGAAAAGTGATCCTCAGTGATCAAGGGATTAATTTGTCAGAAACTGAAGTGTTCAGCTGTGATTACTGTCATTGTTATCGTGAATATTTTATTATTGGTCTTAAATTGATTAAATTGTCATTTCAAACACTATTACTGATATTTAAGCTCAAATTCCATTTCATATTCAGTGTATTGCTAAAGAAAAGTCACATTCTTGATAATATTAATAATACTGATGCCAATATATATAGAAAACAATTGTTATTTTTAAACAACAAATATGTAAACAACATGTTTGAATGCATTGCATGTTTGAATTGCATGTTCGAATGCATTCGTTCCATCTGAATGCATGAAACATTTTGCATTTGGTTTGGTTCAGTCAGCGTTGCACAAATGAGAAAACGAAACTTCAAGAAGTCGATCGTATCAATAAGAGAAGTAGTTTTTCACATGCTAATAAAATGGAATTTCTGGAGGTAGGCAGAAGGGAATCAATTATCTTACTTCTAACGGTAGATGGATGACAAGTTGAACTTATTGAACTGACGAATACGGTAGTATTATCTGTAAACAATCTTTAATAGTTGAAATACGATTTAAAAAAAAAA